CAAAAAATGCAAATCGAGCGGCTCGATCAAAGAAATAAAAATATACTTCGTGCAATAACGTCTAAATGTATTGATTTTGATTGAAGTTACAATTTAATCAATTTCATAGCTCAATGGTCAACATTACAATGTTATTCTGTTACGACAGTTACATGAAACTATTATATAATATTATACTATTATAATAGCTGTTCTATTTATCACTTAATTTTGTTAAATGTATGTTCAATATGTATACGAGTAGACCCAGATTCGACTCTAGGGGGAATCCTTTACATTGAGATACCAGTAGAAGCCCAATAACTCATCCTACAATACAATTGGTAAAACAGACTCGGGACAGTAAAGACCTGGATTTTGTAAGTTACTTTGCAAACTTACAAGTTTGGATGAAACCCAATCTCAATTCTGGCATATTATTGGCAATATATATTAAATTGGCAATATTTAGAGATAAACAACAAAATTCTTGAATGTGTGAGGATCCCTTTGTGTAAATGTAACTGTTCATTTTCTATTCTCACAAACGACTTCGACTCCGATCTTCTGCGATTTGACGTCTTGGAAAATATTGAACAGAATGAAAAATCATTTCTCATATTTCGATACAACAATAGCTGGTTCGTCGCTCTTTCGCTTTAAAGAAACAATGCTTTTCATCGAATGTTCTTATAAAGAATTGTACTCGAAGTCACTTTCAAATTTTAGGATTCATCACATTGTAGACTCTTTATATTTAACACTAACTTGAACTCTGCTTTCGTAACACTATTACGCAAATACGTATACTTAGTAAATTCTCTTAATGAACGAGATTTTAGTTTAACGCTTAGAGGTTATTTTAAAAGTTATATTAAAAATAAAGTTAAATGGCTCGTCTATATACACTTGCCTAATAACAATCTAATCTCTTATCCTTTTGACCGATGTTAACATTTTAACATATCAAGAACCTCGCAAACGCAGACATTTGTAAACTAATTGGCAGCTATAGTGAGATAAGAATGCTAGCTGAGTTTCAAAGTTACTTAAGTGTAAATTACTCCGAACTAATAATCACAACTGACGTTTGCATTACCACGCCTCGCCCCGTACACACTTGTCTACAAGGTGTGCGGGGCGTATTGGTGCAAAGTTAGGCAAAATTTCCATCAAAACTTTCTTGAGTTTACACCTCACGTTCCAATAAATGGAGTGTAGAATCACATATTCAGAACGTACTGTTTTGTATTTAAAAATAGTCATAAAATAAGATGTGCATTGATAAGAAATTAAATTAATTAAGTCGACGTGATATTATGTGGTGTATTAATTATTCGTAGTTTTAATTTTAAGTTTAACTGATATAATGCAGTCCAATGCGTCATGATTGGAATTCTCAGCCAGCTGTGTTAGCGACTTCGTCCGCGTAAAACAGTTCATTGTTCCTATTACAAAATTTTAATTGTTATACATTTTTCTCTCTTTTCTTAGCTGTTTCGATTCTATTATTTTAAAAAAATATACAATTGGGTAGATAACTTTCGCCTTTTTTGTCTATGGGAATATAATGTTAATGAATATCAGAGTTATGACAATAATCGAATATAGAATTGAGTGGGCTTTTGAATATCAATAATGGCGTTTGTACGTATCGTGTAATTAATAATTTGCTTTTGATATTGGTCCATTATTGTTTATACTGTGATGTGTAATAGTACAAGGCAAACCCTTAATGAGAAGCTATAGTACATTCCTTTATGCTATAGAAGGTTAATCTAAAGTAGCTTGTAAAGATGTTTCATTATTGAAGTGGTTTGTTTGAAGTTATCTTATGAATGCGTATCAATTGATTAAACCCACTTAACTTACAATTAGCCTTAACGAGTTGAAAACCCTAGAAACGGCTTTAAATTCAGCGATTTTTATGTACAACTTACATTTTACATGTACAGTCCATAACAAAGACAGCAAAATGCAGATAACTCGGTATTTAATAACGTTCTTGTCATTGTTAGCCCTGATTGGATATAATGAAGCAACTCCTGGGATTAAGTGGAAGGCAATTGTGAAGGGCGGGAAATATGCAGTAAGTATATAATAAATTACTCCACTTAAGAATTTCCGTGTAAATTAAATTTGACCCGACTTATTTTTTTTAAATTAATAATTAAATTGCAAATTATTAAATTAGACAATATAATATCCGATGGGTTTGGATATACAATTTAGAAATTTCTGTTCGTTTTTGCATTTTCGCAATGCGAAAATTGTTGTTTACATCATTTTTCGCATTTTTACAATGCGAAAACTTGTTTACATCATTTTTAAAGCCTTGTAATCTTGAAAATGTACCAAGAAGAACATAATAATTTTCTTTAAAAATTTATGACTGCTGACTAGAAGTACTTGGAGTATTACTTGTAAATTACTACTCCGCTACTAAATAAAACACCATTAACTAAAATACTAACTGCTTAAAACGTGGATTTTCTATCTACGGCCGAAAGTTTCTGATGCTTTACGTTGAGCTAAATCTACAGAATACATTTTGCGTCGTAAAGCGTTAAAGGTGTTTAATTTAATGTACCGTACTTGCCTAAACATATAATATTTATTCGTATTTCAATGTTTCACTTATAGAAACGCGGTTTGGGGGCAATCGGAGCTTTGAGTACGGCGCACGATTTCTACGAAAAACATAAACATAATCACAAACATTGATGTCAATGGATCAATTTAATTGCATTGTAACGCTACTTAAGGCCACTTGTTTATAATCATACGTCTAACTAATCTTAATATACGGATTTCCCACTGTTTCTTAAATATCTATAGATCGTTAAGATTATTCAAGAAAATTTATCTTTAAATAATGTATATCTTTAGTTTCTATCAGTCTTTTTGTAAAAATAAACGCCTGATATCCGGTACTAAGCAAGATCTTTAACTGTCCTATACTTATCCAAGTAAAATTAGTAAGACATTGAAAAAAACTCAGACACGACCTAGACTGTAAATTTATCTTTATATGTTATTAGTTAAATCAATGAAAATAAAAAAAAATAATATCGCCAATACATATTAAATGTTTAAAATACAAAACAATTTTTTTATTCAAAACTCATTTAGTTCCTATCTGTGTCGGCGACTTCGTCCGCGAAGAATAGTCATTTTGGGCTTCCAAATTTGTTTTTGTAAACCATCTTTTTAGATCGTTTAAAACCCGTTGTGTTCACCTTTCCCTGTTTATCCTCGCTTCTATTAGTCACAGCGCGATCTTTTATAGCCTGACCTTTTATATACATTTCTCTAACGAACACAACATTTTTCAATGCAAACTAATATTTCCCGAGATAAGCGCGTTCAAACAAACAAACAAACTCTTCAGCTTTAGTATAGAAGTATAGGTTTTTTAGAGTTTTCCAAAAAAAGGAACAATACATTTACGGGAAAGTAATGTAATTTTTAAAGTTTTAAATAGGTGACGAGAACTAAGCATCTCTCCATATTTCGACATTTACAAATATTTACTCATCCTTTTAAGTAACTTTTTGTTCCGACTAAGATTCCGACTGGTAGAATATATAAGCTGGAATTTAGCCAATGCCACGAGAAAAACTGTTATGCTTTGTGTTTGCGAATTGTATTAAAGCAGAGCATAATAAAAATGGGTAATTTTTCTCCAGTTTAGGAAATTTCATTTTACCGATATTTTACTGTAAAAAAAACTTAAAATGATGGCGTTTGTATTAAATATTATTCTGACTCAGCAATCTTGACTGTCATTTGTTAAATGCTTATCTTTAATTATGGATATCGCTTTGATAGGAAAATAACAACGTATCAATAAAAAAAATAATAATATTGCCTTTAATTCATACCGAGTGTTCACGGACTATTTAAGAATAGCAGGACTCTCGCAAGATAATGATCTTTCTTTATTTCAATAAAACGAAAACTATTTTATAACAAGAACATCAAAGATTCAAAGTTGATCTATATCGAACTTGGCGCGGTTAAAACCGCAACCCAGTAATTTAAAACTTCAATATCTGACGTTGATAAGAATTTCTTCGATATTAGCTAGTCAATTTGGCTTAAAACAATTTAGGACTAGCAATTTGTTCTAAAAGAGTATCGAAATTAACGAATTCACCCATCTTAACATCGGGTGTGGTTCTCAAAAATACAATATTGGCTCACACCAGCTCTACCTCTATTTCAGAAAGGACTATTTACTCCAAGCCTAACACCAGTGTTCATATTTAATTATGCAAGTCTCTTTTGCGATTGTACCTATCGTGAAACGTTAATAAAAAAAACACGTTCCCAATAAAGGGAAGTGAAATTATTATGTCAGGAGGAAATAAGAGTTATTTTCAACTAGCAACCATTTACAGCTTGTAATTTTTATTTCGTCATTTAAAGTACGTTTACGCTTTCAATTAGCCAGAATCTTTCAGAGTCTGTATAGTAGAATTTCTTCCCTCAATAAATACCGACAGCAGTTTTTGTTATCTAATACTGGGGCAGGACAATTAAGATAAATTTCATTAAAAAATAAACTTTTTCGGGGGTAGCTACGTGTTTTGTAGGTAGTTGAGATTTCTCGCGATACGACCGCGTCGCCCGACTGGGTCAGAGCGCGCTGTCAAACGCATTTTGGTGCCACTCGCGCGGGTCGGTTGGGCACTAGTTGAAAGCGCGTATTAAAACGCGAAAAAGTTATTGTTCTGTGATAGTTTCCGTGTGTTTAGTGCGTTTGTAAAGAATAACTTAGTCTCGTACAATCAGTGTGAAATGTGGCTTTTGAATATTTACGGATACTCCTTATTCTACAGTTACAGCAGTCGGCCACTGCGCGAGGGGTATGTCCTTAGAGAATAGAAACGTTTTTTTTTTAAGTTAGCCATACTAAGTTAGTCGAAAGTGTAAAAGCAGAAAAATACTACGAGAATTTTATTTCGCTTTAATCATTAGACAGAAATACATCGCTTCAAGGAAAATAATGAGCCTCTTTAGACGAGAACGTTGCTATTGTTCCGAAGGTGGTCTCTCTTGTCGGTGAGACGTTGTATATCTATCGAAAGCTCTTCGATTTTTTCCTCCAACTTTGATTTGCCCCTGAAAATTTGAAACTACAATTATTTATTAAGCCATTTACGAAACGTACAAAAACGTGACTCGGTTTTCATATCCGAGTCACGTTTTTGTACCCGTTGTTAAAATATATTTTTCAGAGAGTTTCGCTTTTGTATTAGTTATGCCTGTTACTGACTGCAAAACTATATTATATAATCGTTTTAAAATAGTGAGCTAAGTACACCAAAGCCCAAACGATAGTTATTTTTCTGAACACGTAAGAAGATACTTTTGTGACATAAGCATAGTCTAAGTATGTGTTATTTGACTTTTTTAATGTGTTTATTATTAAGTAATTATTTATTATTCATATTAATAAATATTTTAAATACCTATACCAAGCAATATATTAGCGCAATACAAATAAGTTCTCGACGTTCGTTTACCGTCCAATCCTTACGGATTTGAAAAAGTAAAGTACGAAGTTATTGTAATGAAATGCGTAGCAATATAATTACAGAATTTGGAGAATGTCTTGCGGCACAGACGGCTGTATTTCGTCGTACTGGCGCCGCAATTCTTCGACTTCTCGCCTCCGTGTCGCTAGTTCGACGTCCAGTCTTTGCAATTGGGATTTCATATTTTCCGTTTCCCTTTTTATCGCTTCTTTATTCTGAAGTAGAAAACGTGCATATAAATAACACTTACAATATAAGATAGGGATCCCAGTAAAATGACCACGGCGGATAAGGTAGAAAAAGTATTGTATCAGAATGTATATAGTAATAAGATATTACTCGGTGAGCCCTGGGGATCGCTATTACACAAAAGTCTCTTGGTTGTTATTCTAAAAACTTGTTGATCCAATTGTGGCCTAGGACGATTAAATTTTTGAGTCTGTATTATTGACACAAACGATTGTCTTTTCTCTGGATTCAAAGAAAAACTGAGCATGTAACGTCTCAGAACCGAACTAAAGAACTGTATTTCTTTTAAAAATAAAATTATGCCGTCATAGTAGGGGCAATGAAGAAGCATAAAGACTTGTCTCGTCACTAGAATACTCACAGCAAATGGACGATTTTGTCTGAATCGATCGGCTATTTCTCTTAAAGTATCTTCATATCTTCGCCTACAAAAAATATTAAAAATTAACTAGTTTTAATATTTCTTACGCAAGAGCTCTCTTAAAAGTTCCGAACATAAAAAATGATTAGTATGAATGAAGTATGATGTAAAGCTACCCATGTAAAATGTTTAATAATTAGACATACATATTTAGAAAAGTTAAAAATTATTATTTAGAATATTTGACTATTAATAAAAAAAAAAATTATATTTAAAAGGGAACTCATATTGATGGCATTTTGTATAATTTCATTGAAAATATGATTAGATCTTGCATCACAGTCCAGATAATTGTTTCAAATTAAGTAATACGTACACCTCGGTCTCAATAGCATTTTCCTCCGCTTTCTGTCGACGAAGCAGCTGTTTTCGGCTCTCAAGGGCACGGTTGAGTCGCGCTTGCGCATCTTTGCATTGCCGAGTCAGCTGTATTCGTTTCGCTGTCAGACGAACTGAAAAGCAGTGTTTTGAAAAAAAAAACAAAAACACAAACATGTGATTCGCGAAGAAATACTCACAAAAGTACATAACTGTGCAGCATTTTAAAAATGTGTAATACAATTTTTATTTTAAAATATTACCTTTCATAAACAGACGTCGCTTTTGAATTTCGATAGAGTCACATCTTCCAATAACGTTCAAAATACGTAACATGTCTAGCGGATACAGTGTAGACTTATAACTAATAGATAAATTGTAATATTTACTACATATAAACAACAGTATTTATTAAAATGGATCTAAGATAAACAATTTCCCGGTGTTTAGATTTATTGGAGACTGACTTGTTTTTGTTCCAATGAATTACTTGAAATGACACATTTTATTTTAACCCATAATGTCCCACTACTGGATGCAAGGCTCCTATCGCATAGAATACAGTTTTAATAGCCCAGGTTACTTCAATACGTGCTGGTGGGATTTAACTTATGTGCTTATCGTACTCGTCAAAGCGCGGGGATCAATATCCCTCCTGCTTCCTAACTTCAGAATGTTAGCAAAAAAATGCCAAAGTACCATAACGCCCAATCCAGAATCAACCCGGGATCGCGGTAAACATTCGACCAACGAGGCAGTTGAAATAAGTAAGTTAAATTTGTGTGCATCATCCAGCATCGTGTTAATCGTATCGCATCGTAACCTTTCTGAGATACTTATTGCAAAATATGAACCTTCATTAAAAACCGTACCTATTTCATACTAGATTGGCAGTTCATTTACCATAAGAAAACGCGTATTACATATAAAATTATTTTCTCAATTTCGCGGTAGATGAATCGCAGAACCCCCAAAAACGAGCTATAGGCAAAATTAAATTGTTTCCTAAATTAATTATTTTGAAATACTGTATTTAGGCAACTTTTAATGAACGTACATAAAATTTTAACAAGGGCATCATTAAATATCCTAATGCTAAGGCTTTCAATTAGTCATAGAAATCAATATGTTATGTAGGCGACAACTACCATATGTATCCAGTGGGTATCTTTGTAAAATAAAAATTGCTTTGTTATGCACAGATAAGACTTAACCTTAGCACTGAAGTTAGTAGAAATGTGTTTGCCTCATGACCGGGGTAGAAAATACAAAATAATATACATTTTAAGTTATATATATACTTCAATGAATATACCATTCTCCGCCTTCAATCGCTCCTTTTCCTCATTGAGGATCTTAGCTTCTTGGACTGCTTCCTCAACTTGTTTTCTTTTTTCTACGTGTTCGTCTTTAACTGATACAATGGCGCTCTCCTACAATACAATATTACAGGCTTAATGACTTAGTGGTAACAACGGGTCGTGGGTTCGGATCTCTTAGTTATTTGCAAACATGCTAACCCTGTAAGTTTTAACTAAACTCGAGTTAGGAGTTCAATTAAGGTCTACTGGTTTAGTAGACTAACGAGAATTAATTTATTGAAAACCATGCAGATTTATTTTCATCTACATTAACTTATTGTATCTTTAGACAATGACGATGCTTTTACGCATGTCTTTGGGTAATAAACATGTCGCATTGCTAAAATGAAAAGTTTAATTTTGGCTAAGGATTTTTAACGTAATACAAAATCGCATCGAACATTACCTGATCAGTTATTTCGGCTGTTATTTCATTTAGATTCGTTAATACATGGCAAACTTCTGCTTGAAGTTCCTCTGGTGAAAACATCTTCACGTTTTTTATAAATATATATTTTTTTAACACAGATGTCAACTTACTGCAATGAATTACAGTGAATTTTCCCGCCTTTCAATCTTGCAATAAATTAATGGAATTGCGCAATTCACTTTTTTTTTTGCGTCTTTTCAGCCAGTCACATTTAAAATTATGTAACCGTTTCTTTTTTTATCGAACTTATTGGTAATTATTTTTAATTGTAAGTACATGCTATAGATAAATATAAAATAAGTTAAATACTACAGACTATACAATTTTAAAGAAGTATTCGAATTTTAAACCTTAATTGGCGGGAATTGATGATCAATAAATGACACATTTTATACCGTATTCTGTATTTACAAAAACAAAACAAATAGTTTATTATGTCTGTGAGACATTTTTGGTTTCTTCATTCTTTGTAAAATACGATATTATATAGAGACGATACAATTATAACTTGGTAAACTAATTAATAGAAACATCACATTCGTGTATAGTAATTAATGCCTAGCGTAATTAAAAAATTACATGCAATTAAATAAAAACTTTAACGGTTTAAAACGCGATATATTAGTTAAACTTATTTGAAAATGATTTTTAATTCGGCCCGACGTTTCGGATGCTTTGCAGCAGCCGTGGTCACGGGGAGACTGTCTCCCCGTGACAAAAATCATTTTCAAATAAGTTTAACTAATATATCGCGTTTTAAACCGTTAAAGTGTTTTATTTAAATGTGTACTACTCGCGTAAAATAGCAGTATTACATGCAATGTTGTCTAATAAAGTAAATCGTGCGCATTTGCATATTTTTAATAAAGCTGGGTTTAGACACAACATGGCTATCCGTTATGCCTTAACTTGTGGATTTATTGCATTATTTAATCTTAACTAGTTGAAAATTTTTCTATGTTAATCTAAATCTTATTTTTGTGTAGCAGCACTGCGATATGTGATGAAAGATTCCTCTTTAAACATTCTCAAAATGTCCACAACAGTATTTGTCTGTCTTTAAAGATTAAATTATTTCCAATTATTATTTTCTAGCATTATACAAATATAATAATAACCCTGAATATATTAATCCAAAATATATTAACCCTGTAAAATTATTACGTTTATTTATTTTATTTTATAATCCTGCAAAAGGCAAAAGACCGTTTATCGGATCAGCCAGTATCTGATAATATACTACCGCATTAACAACAAATTGATGTTAATGCCTTTAAATCAACTACGGATGAGCTGTTTATTTATACGAGTCTATCTATACAAAGTACCGGCCAACAAGGTCCTGTATGTTTGTCCATACGACAACAGGAAGGACATGGATTTTTAAACAAAGTTTTTCTATCTGTTATGAGATAGAACAGTTGTGGTTTAAGACATTTATTTACGCAAGAAATACATTTTCACTTCAGCGTAGACACAATATTATAGGCGAGTAGGTACGAATTTACAATAATTATAGTTGGTTTAAAATACTTCTCTGGTCTATTTTAAACATAAACATTTTTAATAACACTCTAATACACAAACGGTTTCTACCTTAGCTGTAAGTCTGCTTTTTAATAAGTTAATAAATAGATAATAGATACTTAATTATAAGATGGTGCAACTTTGTGGCATATTGTAGTTTGTTTCTTTTTTTGCATTATTTAATCTTTTTGACGGTGCTAAGAATATAATGATTCAAATTAGTTTTAAATAATTTGTATGATTTAATTACATTAATGGTTCTGGGTAAGTGATTATATGTTTTAGCACCATCATACAGATTGTTATTTTTGCCACTGTTTTATTTGTAAATGTAAATACTCGGTTTAGATTCAAAGGTTCAGCATGTGTAACACACATATCTAAAATTGAAATCGCTTTATTTCAAAAGCGAAATATGTTCGGCATTGACAACATTAAATATATAACAAAGGAATGTCGTCTATGGAAAAAAAAAGAAATAACATTTTGAGTATAGGATTTTTTTTAAACATGGCCTTATAGGTATAGCTTGGGCTTTAGGGTAAAATAAAAATAGCTATTTTTATTAGACTTTCTGTTCTTAATATTTCAAGCAATGTATATTTTTAAACCTATTTGAAACTTATTTTTACTACGGCCTGACATTTCGGATGCTTTGCTCGAAACGTCGGGCCGAAAATAAGAATCAATTTCAAATAAGTTTAACTAATATATCGCGTTTTAAACCGTTAAAGTGTTTTATTTAAACACTACATAGTTTAGTTTATACTTTACGATATCACACTAGAAACCTTTGAACACGAAAAATTGATAATGTTTCGGTTTTCAACCGTTAAGTGTTTTATTTAAATCTGTACTACTCGCGTAAACTATAGAGAGTATTATATTAAAATATCATGCATGTATTATACATCAAAACATTTTTTTAATCATCCATCAATACTGGTTTAGTAATTTAAGCTTTGGAGTCTAAATCTATATATGTGACGGCGAGGTGTGGTGTGGGCGCTCTTCACTATCCATCGTGGATTCGAACGAAATAAGGCTCCCAATACGTTAACAAATTTATTGCGATTACAATTTGGTTATAATTAAATGAAGCTAATCACACAGTACGCGGATGCAAGCGGATCATCATTTCGGAACGCAGTGAAGTCGTAGCACGTTGACAGATCCTCACCATCGTCCGAACCCCTTTACGGCCGACAGTTGTCTAGTTGACGTTTCGTTATTTCTTTAGTCTTATTGAAGTCACACTACACAAAACGTAAATATTGTCATAGTGCGCTTACAATGGAAGAGAAATAAATACGCTATTTATATTCGAAAAATAAATTATAATCCATAGATGTATGTATCTTGTTAAAATAGCACTTTAGCGCACCATTAATTTTCTGCCAAACGAAAACGCGTTCTGCACATCTACAATGCTTTTTAATTTATAACGAACGCTTCCGGACACCGGCTTTATGAGTGAGGAAGCGAGAATGGGGTTTAGGGATAAAATGGTTTGGAAGTTTGATAAAAGTCATCAAGCCTCGGGTTCTAGCCATTAAAATCGGCTTTTGAGGAGAGAAATGTTCGTTTTAATCATTTTTAGCCACTAGCTTTTACGAAAATAGATTATGAATGTAGAAAGTATTTTATAATTAAATAACTTTAAAAGGGAGTTTAACTAGCAGCAACCCGCCCCGTCTTCGCTCGGATGCAATGCTGCTACTAAACACACTACAGGAAACTGTGAACGTTGTACATATATAAAAACATAGCGGCCCGCTCCGGCTTTTCGGCGGTACCACTGCAAACGCTACGTCCCGCGATTTTTAAATCTGTGATATCTTCGAAAATATTTATTCATTATCATATGCTGTAAAGGGTCATATAGCTGTTCATTAAATCAATATTGTAATAAAGGTTTTAAATGGGATAAGGGTTAATGCTGTATTGGTTAAAATTGCTTCGAAAATTAGCCATTATTTGTCGTAAAAGGTAAATGGCAAAAAAAATGTTATTGTGGAAATCCAAAAGAGATAAACATACTCATACCAACCTGGAGTTTTCTTTAGAGTTTTTTGATGTGTATTAAAAAAAATTGTACATTATTTTGATACATCTTGTATGGTCTACGTTTACAATGTATAAGCGGAAAAATGAAAATATTTTAATACGACATCACATTAAAAACCTCAAAAAACCTTGATAACGTTTCAATTTGGTAATTAATGTAACTCTCTAATCTAGGTTTCAGTACTTGGATTTTGAAATAATGAAAACTGAGTGAAAACGCATCTTGTAGACGTTATATGGGTAAGGTATTTCATTTTCCATTGAGTGAAACCTTGCTTATTATCCTATATCATAAATATATCCCTACAAATCACTTATATGATTAATAATGGTTTATAATTTATATGTTAGTGAGACATTTAAACCTAGTGATGACCCCTTTTATGATTTGGTCGTAAATATATAACAGTACTTTTTAATAAATGTATATAGTATCAGATAGTGTAAAGCTCGTCGTAACTACATATTATAATCTTGTGAAGTGAATGGGTTTAGCTGGAACTTAAACAGAAATCTACATTCCTGGAAACTGCTGCATTCGCAAATATTGGCGCATATTCTAAATTCTAATTATTTTCTTGTCAACGGCGACGTACATTATGGGACAAACTATATCTGTAAATTTGAAAAGGAGATCTAATATAAACTTTCACGTTGTTTACATTTAACAATTAAAGTATTGAACGGATCAAATCGGGATTTTTAAAATTGTTCAGGATTAACTTTTATAGACTCTCTAGTGCTGCTGAAAAGCAATGTCAGATCATAGTTTATAACATCGATACATTAACTTTAATATTGTATCACGTTCAAATTAATTGTTGCTTTATTTTAAAGCATGTTGATGTTAACTCATGCCTTCAGTAGAATTTAATTAATTTCAAATTAGTGGACTTTGTGGTTAGAACACTATGTACGAGATTGAAATTAAATTGCCAGCAAGGAAGAATATCGATGTTTGTCACGAGTGATTACGAGACGAGCTAATATATTTTAAATTTAGTGCCTTGGGAGCTTTTCCTATCTATTCTTGAGAATGCACGAGTTCTCAAAACGAGCTACGAAAACAACGTATTAAATTTAGTATAAGACAACGACTGATTCAAGAACTGACTTGAACTTATAAAGACAGGTAAAAACAAACTACTCGTAATTTACATTTACTACTAATTCTCAAAGCAAGCAACGATTTTAAATCAAACTGTATTTTATATCGCTTCAGCTGTGAAATGTTGCAATGCATTAAACTTGTTCTGTTCTGATAAAATATTTCAGGCGGTAAAAGGGGAAACTAAACTTTGCCTTCACGTCTGCTAGCTGGAAGACGTTCTTAATTGTGTAAAATCTTCTCTAAACATCAATTGTAATAGACATGAAAACTTTCCTCTAATAAAATAGAACTGGTTGAACGAGTTCAAGTGACTTGGCTTAACTTTAAGTTTATGTTCGCTTCCGTAATTCGTGAA